GTAGGGAAGTTTTCCATTTGTAGGTCCCTATGCACTGAGGCCTTTGGGCATGAGGTGGGAACTCTTATTATTTATCAGGAACGTGAAGTGCTACCCGAGCTCTTGGGGAACTGGGTAGATGGTAGGTTGCACCGTTGCAAGCGTTAAGGAAGAATAGTGTCACTGGCTGCCTTTTTTGATATACCCGTGGTAGGGCATGATCTGAGTCTTGTGATCAGTCATGTAGCAGTTTTGGAGGGAAATCTATAATGCTGATCCCTGGGAGCTGGGGAAGAAAGCTTAAAATGCTCCAAAATCAGAAAGCATGTGAAACTCCTCATAAATTTCTATAAAACTCAATTTTTTAACTTGCCTCATAATTCTCCTGTGTTCTGATTGTGTGGGTTTGGCTGTGCTGAGATGAAGGCTTTTCCAAGCTCATTAGTCTCTATTACAGCAAAGGGTAACAGACAATCTCTCAAGTATTTTATGTCATATTGTTTATGGCTTTAAGTAGCACCCTTTAACTTTCATTTTTGTACTAGAAGCAGTCAGTTCTGATGGCAGAATTGTAACACTGTTTCCTCCAACAGGCTCCAGATGTGAGTCATCCTCATATTTATCTCAAATACAGCATGCAACAGTACATTTAAACTAAAAAATTTAAAACTAAACAAACTGGATTGCCATGACAGCACCTGCTATTTAAAGGAGTAGTTGTATTTTCTGAACATGCCAGAGAGTCTGAAACTGGAGAAGAAACATCTGACACCCGCTAAAACTTGGATTTCCACGTTCAATTTGCAAATAAAAAATGACTCTACTGTAATGCAAATACTGTTAACCAGCCTGGGGGAAAACTGATTGCCAATTAAGAGGCAAATTCTTCCAGTCACATCACCAGTAATACTCTGTCTTGTCTGGGATTAACTGATAGAGAGAGAGATGTTATAAGCAGGGATTTTTCTCCCTTGGAATTCCAGCCAACATAAACAGCAATACAGAGAAGATCATTAATTTAAAATGTAATTAACTTAATCAACTAATTAAAAGAAAACACTTTTGTTGCTGTTTACAGGTAGACCTCTGAAATGTAATTAGCTCCTGGAATGATTCCACGAATGTTCAAGTCTTTTCAAAATTTGCAAATTATTTCCTTGTTTTGGAGAGATTATTTTTCAAAAGTTTCTCCTGCGTTTAGCTTTCTCTTTAGTTAGCCCTGTGTTACAAAAGCCATGTTGGTGGATGTAAAGGAATGCCACATGCTTTTGAGATCCCTACGTAAAAAGCAGTACAAAAGGGTCAGTAACTATTATTAGCAACTTGTTATTTTTCTGTTTTAGTTGTAGTACCTATTATAGTGATCGTTTTCTAGTGCTTTGTTTTATACAGCTAACAGTCTCATTCAAGGACGGATTTCCAAAGTTGAAAGCATATCCATGATCTTACTTGGATTAGAGGTCACTCATGTCTTTCTTGCCGCTTAAAAAGGCTGCTAATACCAGGTAGAGCCCTGCTGGATCCTTCTTTGATGTCTGCTTTTAGAGCATGCAAGTTCAATGAGCGCTTTCAGGCTTGACGATGAGAGACGTGGCCAAGGATCCTCCAGTAGGGTGTCTGGAGATGTGAACCAGTCGACTGTCCGTAGACAGTAATGGACGTCACAAGCTTTAAAATAGCTCACTGCTGTTGGCAGAGCGCATTTAAGAAGCTAATTATTGCCATAATGGAACAGCACAACTGTCTGTCTATTCTGGGACCTGCCTCTGGCAGAGAGTTGGGCGTGTTGCTCCTGAGGAAGATAAAAACCCTACAAGCACAGGAAAAGATAGACTTGTTTACAGACCTTTTCTGATCAGTGTAGGTCCCAGAGCCTGTGTTCTCATCTTCAGCAATTTGAGCTAACCTTCCATCACTGTGAAATGCTTTGAGACACACGAACCTACCTACCCAGAATTCCTTTTAAAAATTTGTTAAACTGTCTCAATTTGCTATGGCAGCAAGTTGTGTATGTTTATTCTATGCAGCATAAAGATTTATGAACGCCTGTTTTATCAATGCAAGTTCAGAAAAGAGGCTGGTCTGTCTTTCCTGAAATATTGCAATCTGCAAAGATCCGAAAAGTCTTGTTTCATCCTGTGTAGAAGCTCAATAGCCTAAGTAAGTAGAAGAGGGTTTCTGATGTGTGTTATGTTGTGGTTTGTTATACAACTTCCATGTGGAATGAATGTTGAGGTGCTTATTGAAAATCTTAATACAAGTGCATGAAAAGGCCATTTACTCCAGAAACTGGGCCCTCCCAAGACATCACGTACAAAACTAACTCAATGCTTCTGAAAAATCTGTCTAATATACACAGTTGTAACAATATTATATACCACGTTGTTCAGCTTTTTGTTTTAAAAGTAAAGCTACAAAGGATTCTCAGTTTGGCTTTTAAGTGAAGTAAATAGCTGTAAGCAAAAGTTGGCAACCTATTCCAGACGTTTTATTAAGGCTGATAGATAATTCTGTTCTGTATTGTAGCCTAGCAAAGTCACGGCCATACCGCATATAGCATCACTAGTGAACGGCCTGGCATGATTAAGCTATGTCAGATTTTTGTGTTGATGTGTTTCTGAGTCCTGCAGACCAGAGGAGGTTGGCTTGGTGACTAGAAAAGGCAAATTTTAAAATTAGAAATAGTGTATGAACGATCGAAATTCTAAGAAGATTTTGAGTAGAAGTAGATTACGTTTTTGAGTGTTGCTTCCTTAAAAAGAAGTAGCCTTTTAATCAGTTCTTCTGCTAAGAGAGAAAAGAGATTTTCTCCTTGTTTACTACTTCTTTTGAGGTGGGGGGGAGAAGGAAAATGGAAGAGTGGGAAGGAAATGTACCAAGCAGTTGAAAATCTTGCAGATGTGGGAAGATTCTACTTTCCATCACAACTGTGAACTTAGAAAGATTTGGGAGGAAACATAGATATGTGCATTTTTTCCCCACTGTTTACAATGAAACAGTATTTGGGCTATTTAAGCATCCCTGTTGTTAGGTCACTGTGCTGCAGGAGATGTTTGTTTTTCAGATGAGAAGGGAAAGCAATATCCTAACTCTTTGTGGTTATTAAAAATGTTTCACAAAATTGCAGGCCTGTTTCATCCCTGTGTCTTGGCCAAAGACCCAAATTCCGCCCTGCCTGCATAAAGTCACATTTAGCTACAATATCTTACCCCGTTGGCCACAAATGTATTAGAACATTGTGAATGCTGTTGAGTAAGGGCTTCATTTTGATCCCAAAGAGGCCTGCACGTAAATGGCAAATGAAACAATCCTCTATCTACATACCTCTGCATCTCTTGGGGTTCCTTTGTTATCATTTTAATAAACCTGCTAAGGTACCATGGCAACTGGGTGTGATAACAGCAGCCAAAGCAGGCTTAGATGGAAGAAATCTTGTGCAGGATAGAACACTATTTCATTTCTGTCTGAGTGTTTGCCCTTTCTGGTGCTGTATATAACTTGTCTTTTTCCATTAGCAAACCAAGGAAGGGGTTGTCTCTTCTAAGGCTGCTGCAGTCCTGCTTGGTGTACTTCAAGATTGCTGGAATAATCTCAGCTGCTTGCATACGAATGCATTCAATCTTTAAAATGTGATTTGAGGGGGATGCTCTTCCTGGCAAGTAGGTGCCAAGCAACAAAAAGGAGGGGGGGGGGGGGGGGGGCATCAGTTTTTTCTTTTTTTTCCTTTTTTCTTTAACACAGTTGCACACATGCTGTTTTTATTCAAACCCATGAAAGCCCTGCATACTTCCCAGAGGTCAGCATGGTTCCCTATCTCCATTCCCTATTAATTTCCTCTCTGCTGAGAACGCCAATTAATGAAGATTACAACGATTTAGACAGCTCCCTCCTTCCCCCCTCGCATCAGTTTTTTCTTTTTTTTCCTTTTTTCTTTAACACAGTTGCACACATGCTGTTTTTATTCAAACCCATGAAAGCCCTGCATACTTCCCAGAGGTCAGCATGGTTCCCTATCTCCATTCCCTATTAATTTCCTCTCTGCTGAGAACGCCAATTAATGAAGATTACAACGATTTAGACAGCTCCCTCCTTCCCCCCTCACTTTTGTTGATGTCTCATGCAAGCTGTCCCCAGCCCTAATAAGCCATTGATGGGATCAGCTGAGAATCAGCCTGTGCCTGCTTTGTTCTGTATTTTCTGTCTGTGCGAGGATGCAAAGAGGAAATGTAGAGAAGTCCGAGTTTCACTGCTCAATATCATGTACGTAGGAGTAACCCTAAATGGTAAGTTAAATCCAGATACGAGGATATTTTGTATTGCCAGAGCTATACATTTTAATGTGTAACAGATTGATATGTTTATGTACCTGATTAATTACTATTAATTTAGAATTGCAGCTGGTAGAAATTCACTTCTAAATCTAGCATTCAATGGAGAGATGAAGTTTTGCTAGGTCTTCCAAAGGCTGATGCAGAGAAACCACACACAAGTATCATTGATCTGTTATTTTTTTAAATGACAGTTGTTGAAGCGACCCCCATGTGTCTCATTGACACAGAGGTATGGTATTGCCTGCTTGCACATGGTCTTTTTTTTTTTCCTGCTCCTGTATAATAAATGGTACTTGACAAAGTCTCCATCAGTATGAACTCAGCTCTGTTCTCAGTATAAGGAAAAAGTTTCATGGTGTTGGCAGTCTTTGCATGTATTACATTACCTGTTTTCTTTTGCAGATTTCTAACTTATTCCTACCTTCTGGCCTTCAACGCGTGGCTCCTGCTGGCACCCATAACTCTGTGCTATGACTGGCAGGTCGGCAGTATCCCTTTAATCGAGTCGGTCTGGGATGTGAGGAACCTAGCCACAGTCTTCCTGGTGCTGGTGCTGATGCTACTCAGCCTACACTGTATAGCTGCATTCAAGGTAACACCAAAAAATGTGCAGTAAAGTGCGTTGTTCAAAATCTTTTGTTTCTTAACCTTCAAAGAAAATGGTTAGCGAGCACAAGTAGGGTTTTCTCCTAAGTAAATTAGAGTGAGATGAAAAACACACCTACGTCACTGAGGTAGGCAAACTTAGCAGACAAAAATTTCCCACTAGTTGAACGTCTCGATCCCTAATTGGTCTGATTTGAGGGCAAAACTTGGCCTAGAAATCTGCATTCAATTACTGTTAATGATCCAAATCCCACTGAAGTTAGTTGAAAGTCTCGGTCTCCCTCACAGTCAATAGATTCTTTGTCACTTGCTTCAAATGCGACTGTGAACCATCATCTGCAGAGCCATTTGAAAAGGAAATCAATTATTATGTCCGTACTTTTACTACATTGCTAAAACCTAAATATTGGGTACATCTTAATGAGAAGATTTGACATCAGAGAAGTAATGGAATGCTGGAAGCTTGAAATGGTTTGGAAATTGTTATTTGGCATAAATAATATACTCTTTAAACCCAGCTTCCCAATTTAGCATTTCAGATCCACCATTAATTATATTGCAGAAATGAAAGTGAGGTCATACTAGAATTGTGGGGAGTCAAAGATTTACAGATTTACGCAGAGAGGGTATCTTCATGGGTTATAGAAAGTTGAAAACTTTTCCTTCTGCAGTTGTATTGTGGAAGTGTCTTTAGGTAAGGCGTTGGTAATCAATAGTATGAAAATTTCTCCTCCTTAAACAAACAGCTCACTCAGCTAAAAACCATAGTAGGGGAGTGACAGCTTTTTTAATATCTACGCTGTACTAAAATGTGCAGGTCATGTACAGGCTTCAGTCTACCCTGACAGTCTTCCCTGCGCTGCTGATAAGAGGAGGAAAACGAATCAAGCAGTTTGAGACTGCAGAGTCATTAATTTAGATGATACATTGACAGACACTGTATGAAAAATACGGAAAATACCCTATTAGGTATTCACTAGTTCTACCTGCAAGTTGTGCATCATCTTTCATTCCTCCTGCTTTCATTACTCACTGCTAGAGATATTCAAAAGTGTTTGTATTAGACCTAATCATGTTTTCTGGGAAGTTAATGATAAAATTTCATTAGCCCAGCACTGAACACTTCTGAGAATTCTTATCCCATATTTTTTGACGTTTCAGTTGCTCTTTATCTCTTCCTCTGTTTTCAGAATTGATCCTATGTGGAAGATTAATGTTGCTGGTTTATTGGAAAAAAAAATCTTTCAGGATATCCAAAAGACTTTTTGTGTTATTTTATTTTGCATAAAATTGACAATCCAGAAGAATTCCTCTGGGTAACAACTAAATTGTGTGTCTTCTGTCAAAATTCAAAACATGTATTTCAAAACACTTTGTTCATTGAATATCTAGATTCTATCACATTTTTATTCCTTCCCATTTTTTCTTAAAGACAAAGCAATGCAGTCTGGATTTATCAATTCGACTTGAAACTGCAACTTCTAATTTTTTTGTGAGAATAAATTCACTGCTCTACTCTAATCACTGTTAATGTTGCGTTAAGCAAAGCGAATTTCACTCGCCAGGCATGTAGTTATGGCATGCTTTGAAATCCATCTTGTGGATTCCCATGTGTTTATGCATTGAAAACCCCAAGTACAGTACAAATTGGATCCTAACTGATCTGCTTTGGTGTCTAAACAAAGTAAAACCAGAGCCATCACACAGTTTTGACCAAGAGCTCTAATTGGCTTCAGCTCACCAGTCCCCAGCAAACCTGATGTGACCATGGAACTGGCAATGGCTCTTAGGGGCGAACCTGGGCATGCTCCACCCAGCCTTGGGCAGAATGAGAGGTGTTGAAATAGTCTGATTTTCGGGAAGTTCTGAATTTCTGAAACTATTTTCCATTTTAATTTTATCAGTTCTCATAATGACCTGATTGTGATACTGCCATTAGGTGGTACGGAGATGATTATGACATAGTAAGTAGTATGAATTACTGAGGGAAGCAAATATTAGGAAGAGGCACGTTTCCTGGAAATGATTTATGCTGTGTGGACATTCTTGGGAATGTCTTCTACAGTGTGAAGAGGGAAGTTCAGACCACAGGAACTGCAGGCACAGTTCTTTATGTCAGGCTCTTAAGAAAGCTTATTTCCATATGCGATGGCAGTGGCTTTTAATATGACATCGCTCCCTCCAGGAAAAACCATGCTTCTGCCGAGCCCCTGACAGGCGGCTTCTGACTTTTGTAATTTGTAGGCAGCGTGAGACTCATCAGGTGATTTTTCACCTTTCGCAGAGCGTAAGATGTTCTGCTTTCTTTTTGAAGCAAATGCATAGAACTATCTTCGCTGCCATTTTCTCTCTCCCTTTTCAAAGCAAAGTCTAACCTGGAGGTAATAGCTTGCAGTTTTCTAAGGAATGGTTTTAACGTGAACAGACAAATAGTTTGTGTGTTTTTCAGTTGAGTGTGTAGGTGCACCTGGCTGAGGGAGGACACAAATTCACATATTCATTCTGGTTGGCACCAACATTTCCCTTTCTGTGACGTGGAAAATGGATATACTACGAACGGTTTTGGCAGAATTAAAGGTGTTTGTGCAGTGAACACTGAATCGATTTTCAGAGGCAATAGGTGGTGTGTGTGTATCCACAAAACAAGCTCGCCAGATACATGCGGAATATATTACATGGAATGTAATTAGAGAATACATGTATTGGATTTCTGCCTTTGTTGCCATTGAATTTTAAGCAGGCCTAATTTGTTGTTGACACTTGTGATTTGGGTAATAACCCTGTTGGCACGTATGCGTAGTGCTGATAAAGGACATTGAAGGCATGAAGGTTTCTTTTCTATTTCATTTTGTGAATATTATTATACCTCAGAAGAAGAGACAGTGCAAGGTTTCCACCCGCAAGTGCTTTGCTTGGAATATGTCTGTGTACTAGATTTGACAGAAATTTATGCTGAAAACTACAGAAATAGAAAAGGAAGCTGTCCAGTTTGTTATTGGTTAGCAAGATAAACCTCACTCCTCATCCTCTTTGTGCATTTTCACTGTTCTCCTTCTTGCTTAATGAAGAAGTAGCTTGATCAATTGCATTATTAATTCCTTCTATGCAGCCTTCATTATTAACCTTCAGTTATTATTGACCTCATCATTAACCTTCAATTCTTGGGTTCCGGTGTAGGTTCCCTCCTTTGGTGCTCGTGGTGCTAATCCCTCTTGTTTATCTGCCAATGGGGAGGGAGAGAGCTGCCCTGTGAGCAGCTCCCCAGGTACAACATGCTGCTCTGCACACTGTTTGGGTGCGCAGCTCTGCTCTTCTCTTGCTGCAGCCAGCCCTGTCACGTGTGACGATTAGTGATGGTCTTCTGGATGCTCGATGGGAGTAAGGAGAAGGCCAGCTCCTTGTCCCATGTCCAGCAGTCTCTGCGGTGAGAGTGAAGGACCTCACAGTTATCTCTGTCCAAGATTTTTCCAGTGACTAATGTGGCAAAGTTGCAGTCTGTTTTTAAGCATCTCCTTGAAATTTTTGGAGACTTGACTTTTCAGCATCCATTTTACCCAGCACGCTCTGCAAGTCAGCCTCTGCTGACCAGTTTTAGCCAAGGCACCAGGAGTCACAAGTTGGTTTTGGAAACCTTGGCTTCCCGTTGTCCTCAGGTCCTGCTCAGCTCTCAGTGCTCAACCTGCTCACCTGGTCTGACCTGGCTTTACGTAACATGCTGGGAATGTGACAAAAGGCAAGGAATGCTATTGTAAACACCTACACCTGGAGAAATAATAATTGCTAGAAAAAAAGGGAAGGGATTTGGTTATTGTCTTTGTGCTCAAAGACAACCTCAGCTGCAAGGAATGGATTTGGTCTGTTTTGCAGCTTTGGGACTAGGTAGATTGCAAAAGTGTCAAGGAAATAGATGAATCACTTTTGCATTGTAGCCACCAAGTAAGCCAGTTATGGGGTCAAACAAATAATCTGACTGATGCTTCAAAAGGCTACTAATATACCCCAGGGCTTATCGCACTGCCTTTCTATCCTGGAGCAAACAGTGAATACCTGGTGAGCTAGCGGCAGGAAAGCAATTCTTGGCCTATCGTCAGGGTGACAGCTATTTCTTTGACTTGTCACAATAATTCAATGATCCCGAAAGGAAAAGCCTTTGGATGTTTGAAATGCCACTCTATATGGCATTTTTAGGTCGCTGCTTAATTAGCAATGTGATTAAAATGCAACTTATCCTGTAGTTGTGGCTGTAAATTTATATACAGCCATACAGAGCACATGATGGATCAGATTCCACTTTCCATATGGTGCCAGAACTCCTGGGAGAATAGCCCTGCCCAGGGTAAGGACATGAAAGACAGTGGGAAAACTAAGGCATATGTGTAAAGGAGTCATTCAGAGCAAGGTAAATCCAGAAAACTAGTTCGAAACTCTGGCTTTTATACCTGGCTGGTCTGGAGGAATTTAATGCACCTCATTTCACTCAGCTTTCATCTTGCATTTATACTTATGACCAATGCTAGTTTGCAGTATGGTTTATTTGTTCAGCAGTAGTAAACGATGATGTGCAATGGTTTATTCTTGTCTGAGGAGGGAATGTTCCTTATATTTCAGATTAAAAGAAAAAAAAAGCCCTCTAGTGTCCTCTTGTTTCTTTTTTTTTGCTGGAATGTGTTTTGCTGCTGTATGTGACATACCTCATATTATACAGGACGCTGTGATGATTTTCAGGTTATAGTTGCTATATCCAACTGAGATAAATACTCTTATTGTGTTCTTCTGTGCACTACAGTTGGTTATTTTTTACTTCATATCTAGTTTTGAGGGAATGCTGCTTCTTAACGTTTCTCTGCATAATGCTCCTTAGCCAAGACAAGGCATTTTATAACAAATTATGATGACTTTAATTCTTGCTGTAATTGGCGTCATATTGCCATTTATCCAGGGATTTATATGTATGGAAATCATCTGAACACATTCCTCAGTCACTTA